GGGGAGGCGGGCCTGCTCATGCCAAGAGCCTATAGAATTAGGATACATGTAAGTCCAACCTCTGAATGGGGCAGTCTCCGCCCAAGAATATAAATGTAACCAGAAACAATGACCCGAGGGCTTTTTGAGAACTGTTTTCCTGCGGACATTCTGGATCTCAGGGCCCAACGCTGTATGACTTCACCTGTGACCAGACTTTGATTAAATTTTCTGTTGATTTTATACAGTCCTCTTCTGTCTTCACTTCTTGCGCTTTCAACAAAAGAACTGGGTTTTTCTAACATGTCAAAGAGAATAACTATATTTTTACATATCGAAAACAATGAGAAATATATATAAATGACTAATGAAATGGATAAATGAACATTTAACATCACTTTTACCTTTATTGAAGACTCTTGTTAGTGTATGAAGGACGGTGAGGAGGTGAGAGGGAGGAGGAGAGGTTATTGTTTGCGACAACCCATTGTCCAGTATTCCTTTGTAGCTACCGCCTCATATCACAACATTCACACACTTGGCTTGCTAGCACATCTCAGTAAACTGGCAGGGGCAGAGGCGGGCCTGCTCATGCCAAGAGCCTATAGAATTAGGATACATGTAAGTCCAACCTCTGAATGGGGCAGTCTCCGCCCAAGAATATAAATGTAACCAGAAACAATGACCCGAGGGCTTTTTGAGAACTGTTTTCCTGCGGACATTCTGGATCTCAGGGCCCAACGCTGTATGACTTCACCTGTGACCAGACAAGTGTATATTTACTTTTAATTAAAAATTACAAAGCAGTTCATTGTATTGTTCACTTTCAATGCAACACCGGCAGTAGGAGGTGTGCACGTTCACAAACCTTCATCTCATTTTTAGGAAGAACGGGTTGTCTTTTAACCAGAAGGTTGGCAGATTGATTCCTGGCTTTGATCCCCCACTTGTTCCTGGTGATATCACCAGTGTGTGAGTGCTTGGGAGGGTGAATGGACAAATAGTATGAAGTAACAGAATGTACTTAAAGAACCTCAAGTGTGTGTATTAGGAGAGAGAGAGATATTTGTTTAACTATCTTCAGGCAAGATTACTCAAGGTGCATGCCTTTTCATACATATTCTGAAAAATGCTTTGGAACTATGTCTAAGTACAATGACAGCAACAAAAAACAAGTCAAAATCCATGTACATATATCTGGACAATGGAACCTTTCTGATTGCATATGCACCTAGACAAAATGGTGCAAATAATAATAATAGCCATGTAGACTGAGCATAATTATACATTCTGCTGAATTTACTACCTACAGCTATTGCTAGTTTTCATGTTGGTAACAAGGGTTACCAACACATTTAAGAAGATTGAGCAAAAGTTAACAGTCTGTGTATAATAATACAATAATTCAACAAAACAAAAGAGTTATGATATGCTTGTCTTTATATAACATTATAAAATTGGTTTCTCAGGATATAAAACTACTGTATATCTTCTCACACACACACACACACACACACACACACACACACACACACTCACACATGGTACCTCCTCTCCTGTAGCCGACCATGTGAGGGGACAGGGAGATGAAGCAAGCAGTTGCCAAGGAAACAGATGCAGTATTCCTCCTTTGCTGTCTTGTTTCTTAATATCTCAAGGCTAGGACTTGAAATACATTTCACCTTTGTCTCATTATAGTTAAAAGAATGGTGCAGCTGCAGTTCAGGAGGGGTTATATGCTCTCACCTTGTCAGTCAGTAAGTCTACTGTCCATTAGAGGTTTAGAAACTAAGTTTTACATTCAATGCCTTTAAAGTTTCAGAGAAATCATATGTCCACTTTATAATGACACAAAACAATGACTGTGCACCTGTTATCAGTGTTGGTACATTAGATGATTTTACCTGGACAAAGCAACCTCTTGAGGTGTTTATAAATTTCTTTCACTTTTAGTCCATATATGTTTGGATTAAAGAGAGGACTGTACAAAATTAATTGTAAAGTCATTATTAAACGTAGAGTTTGGGGAAAATCAGTTTCCAGTCTCCCGAGCAGTACATCAAAACCCATGGAACAGGTGAAGTTGGTTAGAATCAGCAGATGAGGTAAACAGGTCTGTGCAGCTTTTCTCCTGACTTCTCTACTACTTCTGTAGCATATTCTAAATATTCTACTATAGGTAAAAAGTATGAAAATGACAGGGAGAATTAAAATATTCACCAAAACAACCAAGCCATATACATATAAAACTACTGACCTCACACAGTGCAGTTTGAAAACGGTGCTGCTACAGATGAGTCCTCTAATCGTAAAGTTACAGAGTTTAGCATCAGCACTCAGACTAACTGGCACTGTAATTTGACAAGCAGGCAGAAGCCAAGCTAAAACCAACAAAATACTGATGTTTGTTTTTCTCATGATAGTTGGATATTGCAGAGGTTTACATATCGACAAATACCTGTCATAGGCCATGGCTGCCAACAGGGGCATTTCTGAACCTGTTAGAACATAATATGCATACCACTGAAAGAGACAGGCTCGATATGATATGATCTGTTTCTCTGATAAGACATCAGTCAACAGCTTTGGGTAGAGAGAAGTGCTGAGAAGAACAGAGTTCAGTAACAAGGCTGCAATGAAAATGTACATAGGCTCATGGAGGTTTTGGTGAATCCAGATGAGAGACACAATGGTAGAATTACTGCAGATTGTTAAAATATATACTATAAATATAATCACAAAATAAAGATATCTGTATTTGTCCACTTCCACATACCCACCAAGTGTTTTATAGGTGACATTTAATTCTCCATTGATTTACTGTATGAATCAAAGAGGAAGCTTATATAACAGACATGCTACAGTGGTAACATCTGAGAACAGAACAATCAGTCAGAGGACTGATTTAACATGCAACCTGGACTGGAAAGTCTTTTTCATTTACAGATACCTGAGGTTACAACAAGAGTGTTCATCTCCAGAATTCAGAAAGTGAACAGTTTGAGACTGTGCAATGTATTTTCATCAGTCTGGCTCATCCTCAATGGAGTCTCATTAAGCTCTTCCCTAAAAACTACATCATGTAAACAACTTCATCAAACTCTGGAGACCTGAACTTGTAGACAGTTTTACTCAGGGGCTGGGGAAACTCAGTGTTTCAAGAAACCCAAAGGCCTGGTCTGAAGAATGTAATTGCAAAGTCTTTCACTACTTGGTAAGATTAGACTTAAGACAATCCTTTTTGATAAAGCTTATAGTTAGGGCTGGATCAGGTGACCCTGAGCCTTCCTTAGTTATGCTGCTATTGGCCTAGGCTGCTGGGGGGCCCCATGATGCTCTGAGATTCTTTCCCCTCCCCTCCTGTCTCCTCTCTCTCCCTATGCGTAAAAGACCAGTGAAGGAAACAGGTTGCCTTTTGCAAATATGCACAGAAATCACTTCATGATCATACTTGGAGAAAGACAAAATATAACCAAGTATCAGCTGTAGCACACGTAATGACAATTTTAATCTCTAGCAGTGTCTGCTTCTATGGATGACTGGGATTCAGACAGTGTTGTTTCATTTTGACTCGAGAGGAATGCATGGATAGTGTTAGACCCCATGCAGTGGTCTAACACTATCCATTCATTCTGTGAAGTCCAGTTTGTTTGGAACTCCTAATCACATGCTTTTGAATGGGCTTTACAGGCAAACATCACCAACAATGACAGCCAAAGTTTGCTTGACCACCGCTGCACTCTCCCTCTCTCTCTTTCTCATAGGGTATATTTCGGGCAGGCTGTGACATTTGGGCATAAAGATAAAAAAGCTAACATCACTAGCTAGTAGAGTATATTTTGAATTGGTACAAAAGAAGATACGGCTAACGCTGAATGGCTGGCAACGAGGCTGACAGCAGCTTAACTACTCCCACTTCTTTCTTTCATTTGTTTTTCAAGAACTGTGGGGTGCAAGACGTGGGGCTGGTGGATGCAACGGAGCTGGCAATTCACACACAAGAGGAATGAATTGCAGTGATTTCACTACAAATTAAGCAGACAAACAGGCAGTTGTACCGTTTATGTCCAACTTCTGCATCTCCTATTCTCCCAATTTCATTCCTTCATTTGGCTTTGTTTAATGGGTTGGGAACTACTTAACTGCTGACCCAATCTCCAGATAATTATGTCATAGTAAAAACTTGAACTGCAAATACATTGATACACATCAGTCAAATGGTCACAGTCAGCATTTTCTCTGCCAAAATATCTTTTTAAATTTGATGATGTGTGGGAGAAATGAGTCAATGTTTGGGGAGAGGTACTTATCTTAGGGTCACAACTCCCACCAGTGTCATCTACAAAAGTTCTGACGACACTGCTATTGTTGGATGTGTATCTGGAGGGGGGATGAGGGGGAATATAGGGGTGTTGTTACTGACTTTGTGAAGTGGTGTGAGAAAAACCACCTGGTACTGAACACCAGCAAGACAAAAGGGATAGTGATTGACCCCCGGGTAAATCACCAGTACTCACGCCGGTGAGC